GGAAAGAGCCCTTAGTACAGAAATCCCTTGACACCAGAGAATCAACTAGAACTTGACTTTAAAAGCTGCTGGCAAACAAAAACATCGTGTCGACTTCACCCAGTTCACCCACAATACAGCACGGCCTTTCAAAGGGTGCAGTTACTGGGAGAGGTTATCACAAGTGCTTTGTTGTTTCGCTCTCCCATTCAGTCTTCTGAATCAGTGGTCAACGCAAAGAGCAGCTTTCATCACAGAAAATATTAATATATTAGCCAATCTTAACGAAAAAAAAAGGAAGTTTCCTTATTACAATTTAGAAGCAACATGGGTCTTTTGGGCTGCATCTGTTTACTGGTTCTGGATAAACGACCACAAAAGTTGTTGGACTCTTATTTCACTGCTCATAGAATTCAAAGTATCGACAACATATTTCCTTCTTTTTTTTTCTTTTTGAAAAAGCAGTCAATATGTAATGCAAGAATTTGGTGTACATGAGGAATTACTCAGTAGCACAGTATAAAAATTGTAATTAATTGTATTTATATACAATTGGGATCTCAAAGGATCTGAAGAAACTTAGCCATCTATACATGAAAAAAATCACAATTTATTTATTGTCTCTTGAACGCTAGAAGGTGAAACCTGCTCCAGCTACAAGATATAGAACGGCTTGACAACAACGGAAAAAAAGATGAATTTTTCAGAAACTAGGACACAGAGCAAGCTCTTGTCTCATAAGTAATTCAAGTAGAAAGGACTTTGCTTTTGAGGTTTCCCTGAAGAGCTTTACACTGCCTTGATCAGATCTTACTTTGAGTTATAGAAAGAGAGAAATACTTCTGGCTTCCCGACTACTCTATTTTCAGCCACGTTTCATTTCTTGCAGTGTACAAATCATCATTTTAAACTACTCATGGAATAAAGAAATGCGGGCAGATGTTGCACTCCGAAATCAACCTTCTTCCCAAAAGACAGAGCAACCAGCCCTACTATTTTACCTAATTCCATTTATTTCCTTGTCAGCCCATGAGTGATCCTGGTCAAAGTACAGTCAAATGCTCATTGAATTCATCGTCTTCTTGTCCTGATAAATTATTGGGGAAATGTCTACTGAGGATACCAGGCACAGAAATACGACACTGCGCTAACGGATGGATAATAGATGGAATGCACATGGCATTAACAACCACCTCCTCGCGCACACGCGTCCGCCTGGTGACAAACGCCGAGAAGTAACGGAACGGCGGGGCACGGAGGGGTAACCCTGGCACATTTATCATCGTGAAGAACGTGCCCATGGGCTGGTGCCAGGGAGAAGCCATCACCCTTTCCATTCCCATCGCCGGCTGCCTCCCGGCAACTCGCTCGGTTGCGCGCGTGTTCACAATTCATCCCCTCATCTAACAGAGAAACTCCTTTATTTCAAAGCAGACGTTCAAATAACGACCGCCTTCGTGGAAATAAGTCTTTTTCCTAAACGTGACAATAATCTTTAGGGGAGAAGTCAAAAGTTTAGCCAAACAGACTCACGATTTTCAGTGGAAGTGTCTGGAGAGTTGGGATTTTCAGAGTCCATATGAGCAATGCAATGTCATCTGCTGCAGGTAAATTCGGATTATGTGCTATCCCTTAGGGACTTTTCAAAACGTTATTGAAAAGATCGTAACAAGAGCAACGGCAAAAATGAGCAGATGCCCTGAACCAGTTTTTACCTGGGGGGATTGGACTGTATCTATTATTGCAAAAGAAGGAAAACTAATGTTACCGTTATTGTGGCTGAGCCAGACACCTTAATTTAGTTATGTCAAGCGAGTGCATTTTCATAATTAATGAAATGGAGCCAGAAAAGCATCTTTATGCTCTTAGCTCCATTACTCACTTCAGACTCGTTTGAACCGCTGTGAATTCTCAAAAGTGTATTTCAATTGTGACACGAAGAAAAAGAATATCTAAGACAAAGAATGAATAAAAATAGGTTTGCTGAGTTCCCAGGTATTAAAAAAAGAGTCATATCTTCACTTGTAGTGCTAAAATAAAGAAATATTGCCACAGAGCAGAGAAAATAATCGCAAGTAATAGAAAGAGTAATTAAAAATTTTTGATCTCGGTACCTCAGTCGTCCTATTCACCATCATCTGATGCAGCATGGTTTGGGAAAAAGAGGAACAATATTAAAGACTGGCCACAAAATGAAGAACTATGTTGCTTTTTGAAATGAGTTATGCTGTTAATTACGGGAAAAGCCATTCAAGCATGCATTAACTTTAAATATAACCCATGTTCCCATGGGCAACGAACCAGTATCCTGTTTAATAGGGAAGCAGTGATTCTGCTTCCAATTCCAGTGCCTTCTGGTTACCAATAACGAGAGAAAGTTGGTTACCAAAGAAACGGGAGGTATAACTAGGAAGCAGAAAAACGAGTAGCTTGTAATTGCTGTGTAACTAAACACTGCAAAAGTAGACACATTACTGGTGATACTGGTCGAGCAACTTGTCTTTCCCCACAAAAGAAACCACCTTCAACCATTAAGACGAAGGAAGTGAGGTCTGCTGCCCGCCAGCACGCAGCCGCCCGACGACCCCGTTACCTCGCCGGCAGCGCCCCCGTTACCTTGGACTGCACGTCGGCGTTGTGGTCGTTCTGCAGTAAGAGCGCCGCCGACTTGGTGTCGTCTTTTCGAGCGGCGATGTGCAGAGCTGGCAACCTCACCTTCCCCTTGGTGTCATTTTCCAGGAGGATGGCCACCGCCTGGTTGTGTCCTTGTTGCAGGGCAACAGCTAGAGGAGTGAAACCGTCCTGGTAGAGAAGAGGACAAGATGTGGTCAGTAAGCTGAAGGACGTACAGCTGCAGCGATGTGCACAGCGCTGTCCGCACGTAGAAGTTTGATAAGCACGTTACCAGCCGTTTTCTACCTCTGCATCACCATCTCCAGTGCAATGACATCACAAACACAACATTTTAACCCAGATATGATTTCAAGCGCGTCAGCAGCACACTTCTTGCACTTCAAAGTAGCCTTTTTTTAAGTACAAGTACAAGCAAAGGATCATTCTACAGCATCTCTCTTAATTACTTCTCATCGAATCATCAAACGGTTTGGATTGGAAAGGATCTTCAAGATCACCTCGTTCCAACCCCCCTGCCATGGGCAGGGCCGCCCTCCTCCACTACACCAGGTTGCTCAAAGCCCCATCCAACCTGGCCTTGAACACTGCCAGGGATGGGGCAGCCACAGCTTCTCTGGGCAATCTGTTCCAGTGCCTCACCACCCTCCCAGTGAAGAAGTTCTTCCTTATCTCTAATCAAAATCCACCCTAGGTGCTTGCAAAATGTCCCTCTCCAGCTTTCTTGTAGGCCTTTTTAGGTACTGGAAGGCTCCTCAAAGGAGCCTTCTCTTCTCCAGGCTGAACAACCCCAGCTCTCTCAGCCTGTCTTCATAGGAGACGTGCGCCAGCGCTCGGATCATCTTCATGGCCCTCCGCTGGACCTGCTCCAACAGGTTCTCACCTTCAAATTGGCCACAAAACATATTTTTAGCAATATTTTGGTATGGACTAATGAGTGCTGAACAATGTAGATGTGAAAAACACACAGGGAACCTGTTTCTGAATATCTCACATCTCTGCCAAAAGAAAGTGTATCTTCAGATCCATTTGCTGCTGTTTCCCATGTGAAGTTACACGTGGACCGTGAATAAAGCCAGAGGGCAGCTGAACCACGAGGATCAGAGCAGCACTCTGAGCCTGTGACCGGAGACACAGTGAACAGCAACGAAAGAAAATCTAAGGGAATCAAACAAGGTCTTCTACGTCCAAGTTGGAAAGGACAACTAAAGAGTTGATTATAGCCAGAAAGCCAGAAAACTGATTTAGATCCATTGTAAGAAGGGTAAGAACGAGATAGAATTGATTTGGAATAGGAATATGGAAAGATGATAAAATAATAAAGGACATGTTAGGAAGGAATGAGAGCTAACATATGTTGAAAGAAACATCTGAAGAATTGCCAAAGCAATTTTTCCCCTTAGTAATCTAATAACATTCACTCCCTTTCGCAAAGAACTGCGAGGAGGTGCGTTGTAACAGCGATACCGCGACGGTTTCTGTCTGTAGTAGAGATTAAATTCTGTACAGTGAATTAAAAAAGAGTGAACAGCTGATGAAACAGCTGAACTGTAAAGATAATTCTGAGATTGGGGCTACATTAGGTGTTGAAATGGCTTAATGCATTTGCCTTTTGCCTCTGGGAACATGAGAACAAATCCTGGATTAGAGGCCCTGTGAAACCGAGCTCATCCTTACTCTCATTGCGTGGATATACGTACATCAGCGTTAGAGGACACGAAATGTATCCAATGGCAGTGCAAGTTTCAAAGCTTCAAAGACCAGATCATCCATTTGATTCGCAACATTTCATCTTCCATCCTTCCCTGAAAGGACACAACTCTTTCTGCATTCCCCCTCCTATTGCTTCCGGAAAGCATGGTTGACCAGAGCTCAAAGAAAGCATGTCTCTTCCACACTCTAGTGGAAGGTGTCCCTGCCCATGGCAGGGGTCTTGGAACTAGATGATCTTTGAGGTCTCTTCCAACCTAAACCATTTGATGATTCTATGATTTCATTTCCCCACCTCCTTACATGAGGACAGCCAATCTTCGATGCATTTGGCATCAAAAGGTCCTTCTCCATGTATTTTGACGGCATCCTCAGTTCAGGCTGCCATCCCATCTTTTTGAATGTACCATTCCTTCATTCTGTTCATGAGCCTAACTCTGGCCACGTGTGAAAGCAGATGGCAGCTCAGGCCATCCCTCAGTAACACCTGAATCAGTGAAACCATCACCCCAGCAAGACCTGAAACCAAACCTTATCTAGTTAAGCGATAAAGGGGTAGAGAGCCTTCACTTCCTGAGCTAAAAAAGCAAGAACTGACTTTTCCAATGGCAGAAAACAGACTTGGACTCGGGTTCAGAGGTGGAGGAAGTAGATTTTTTTTTTTTCTTCTCCCTTCTGCCTTTTTTTTTAAAAAAAAAAATCAGACTATACTGTGATTTCCAGCACTGCCTGGATATGTGCATTCAAGCAGAGGCCACATCAATTATAACCATCTCAACCTTACGGTTCCTGTAAACTAATGAATGAGCTTCCAGTTCACCTGATGACAACCAGTAGAAGTTACTGGGAGGAAGGCGGCAGGCAGGTGACCGTGCGCCGTTGCCGGGTCGGGCTCCTGGAGAGCCACAGTTCCACTCGGCTCCTTCACAAGGACTGTGTTTCTGCCACGTTGCCTGGCAATCACCCGGGATTTCATATTTCGGAAAGCTGACGTGTAACGTGATCGCCGTCCATGCAGGCAACGAGAGGATTATTTTAGGAGCTGTCATCCAACGGTACAGTATCCATTGAAAGAAGGGACAGTAAAGCAGCTGCTAACACTAGCAGGTCGGTTTAAAGGAATGGAGAGCGAACAGAAATGCACCATCATTTCAAATTCTTCCATTTGTGAAGGCAATCCAGAACAGGAAGGTTTCTGTACAGACTAGGGAAAAGTCATCAACATGAGCAAAAGCTCTGGCAGGAGAGGAACTTCCCTGTTATTAATTCACACAGCACATCCATATCCATAGGACAAACACGAAGCCAACACGCTTTGCAGCACAGAGCCTCATCGCTCATCCCCTCAGCTTAGAATAAAAGAACATTCCACAGAAAGAGAAAAAGTGGAGAAAAAAGAACGAGCACAGTCCTCACGATCCAGGAGCTTTCCCCATCCCTCAAGTCCTATCGTTTGCAGAAGGAACTTCTTACGGTTTGGTTCCTCTTGAGATGGGCTCTCGTCTCTCTTACTTTGGTGTCCGCTCTGCTCGCGCTGAAGTTCCTGCAGGTTTACAGCTCAATCCAGAACCTAACAATTAATATTTCCCTTCTGCATATTTATACCCACGTGGTCTGGCAGTAGAAATAAAGCATCCGAGGAGAAAACTGCACGTTGCTCGCTGAGCTCATTGATGTGATCCTTGTCAGTCATTTGATTTCCAATTGACGCGAATCACTAACGACTACTCGTAGGTTACTCAAAGTCCCAGACAAGCCCCTGAATCAGAGTTACTTAGCTGGTCAAGGAGCTCCTCTTTCTTTCTATGCAGAAAATATTCTCAACTCATCTAAAAACCACAAGAACCAACCTAAAAGGAAGACTGTCAACAACTAACTGTTGATACTAATTGTTTTTGTCCCATTTTACGCTACGCACGGCACCCTTCCGGACACAGTCCTCACAGTCCTAATTCAGGTATTCCCATTTTGTTCCATTCATTTTGTCAGCAGGCTGAGGAAG